GGGCCTGGGGGCCTCGCGTGCTGGGGTTCAGCACTGCCTGGGCTGGGCGAGGCGCCTGAAACTAATTTTTATGTACAGTGTGAGATATGGATGCAACTTTTGTCTTTTATTTATTTTGCTAGATAGCGACTCAGTTGTCTGAATGCCTTTTATCACGGTCATTTTTTTACTACTTATTTGAGAGGTCACTTTTATTATATACTAATGTCCCACATTCTTTGTGTCTCCCTGCACTTCAGTGTTTGTGTGTTGTTCTGCATGTCTGTTCATGAGGCAAAGCCACGTTCTCATTAGGACGATTGTAGAATTTGGGACCTAGTGGGGCTGCCTCCCTCTCTAATTCTTTCTATACAGGATTTTCTGTCTCTTCTATTTTCTATTTTATATCTGAACTTTAGTCAAATAGTCTAGTCCTTACCTCACAATAATAAAAATAAAAGGAAAGATCCAGAAAAACCTGGATTTATATTATTTTTATTAAATTTTCATTAACGTATAAAACAAGTTGGGGAAACTGACATCATAAGTCTCTCAACTTATAGTTATTTACATAGGAGAACTTTTCAGGGTATTTAAAAACACCTCTATAGCCCTAGCGGGTTTGGCTCAGTGGTTAGCCCATCAGCCCTCAGACTGAATTGGCCCTCGTTGGATCTTACCAAGGGCACATATGTCCATTTCTGCCTGACCCCCCAGCCCCGGTAGGGGTCCATGCAGGAGGTAACCAATTCATATGTCTCTCACACATCCGTGTTACTCTCTCCCTCTTTTTCTGTCTCTCTCCACTTTGCACTCTCTCTGAAAAGCAATTGAAAAAATATACTCCAGTGAAGATTGAAAAAACAGCTCTTCAGTTTAACCCTGGATACTTTGTTTTTGGCCAGGCAAATGGGGTAGCTTTTTTACATTTTACCTTCTAAAGCTATTCGTTTCTCTACATGAATTTTATACCCTGGTAGCTTGATAGATTCTTTTATTATTTGTGGAAGGTTTTCACTCCTTATAGTCTTTGGGGCTGAGATAGGTTTATTTTACCATGTTAAGAAATTATTTACCTAATCCTATTTTATTACAGTTTATAATGCTGGATTTTACTACTTTCTCATTTTCTCTAAAGTTGATTCCATTTTTTTAATCCTTGGTTCTGTTGCAAGATAAAAGAAATTACCTATAACCAGCTTTTCAAACCAGCCTTTTAAGTGTTTGCACTTTATTTGACACACAACAGGGTAGCTTTGTCATTCAGAGACCCGGTCTCCATATCACCTTTTATTCTTGGTACTAAACACAATCTTCAATTCATTTAACAAAATATTTTAGCAGAAGAAACTTAGAGTTAGTGCAGTCATGTCGTTATTAAAGAGCATGCATTTTTTCTCTGAATTTGGAAAAGAATAGAGATATGTCTCTTTAATGAAGTTACCATGCACAGTAAGCCCTCTTAAGTTCCTTCTTGAACAAAGCTGGCAGGTATGCAGGTGGGCAGAGGTTGGTGTATAGGCAGATGGATAGAATTCATACAAATTAAGTCAATTAAAATTGACATGGCACACACTTTCTATACCCCCCCTTTTAGAAAATAAAATAAAAAATAAGAAACCAAGTAAGTACAAAATAACGTCTTCAGATGCCTACTCTAAGGTGAACCTGCCCCATGCACTGGTTTCCACGGAAATGGCAGAGTGCAGGAGAGGAGGACTGGGGAGATGGTACAGAGTCCATTGTATTCCCTAAAGTGCCTGCATGTCCTAAGCTTATTTGTTGCCTTTTAATTCTGCAGAATCACATGATTTTGTGCTGACTGGGAACCAAGAATAGAAAAACATTTCTGCCTACAAGGCATAGAGCAGACACCTACCATTCAAAGGAAGCAATCTGCAGACTTTGTACAAAATATTTATCTCTTGGGGCTCTAGTTGGGCACAAGGAGACCCATCACTGTATCTGGACCTATGGATTTCTAGCACTATGTCCAATACCTAGTTTTAATATTGTGAGTGTCATGGACATGCCTCTAAATGGCCTACAAATGCTGGTATCTGGGTCATTTTTCCGTGTCCTCTGCAGAGAAGCTGACAATGGACACATCACTTGAAGTTGAGGGCTGTGGGAGAGAATTACCACATTGAGGGCTATTGATGGCATTTTTCCTTCCCCCTGAGGCACTGTCCATACCACAACTAGGCAGGGACCAAATCCCCTCTAAGTGGTTTAAACTGGTGGTCATGGATTCCCCACCACAGCAGAGGTCTGCCCCTGTATCCCATCCAGACTTCTGAAACTGGGACAGGATGGTCCCCCACGTCAGTTTTAACTTAAAATATTCGAGTATATCTTAGGAGTTTTAAAGCTTTGTCACTGCCATTTTAACAAATGGAGAAACCATCACTAATGATAATTAGACCATCAGCCCAACCACAGTCCTGGGTTAGCCCTGTGCTCTGGTCCTGCAGGTTTCTCCACAGGCGGACTCTTACACGTCCATCTAGATGCCCTGATGGCCATAAAGAGTTCAGGGTGCATGGGGACGACAACTGCGCCATGAACAACAGGAGAGCTATACAGTGAACAGGACAGAGACAGGGATGCTGGAGATCACTGCCCCCTCAAACCCCTCCCTGTGGTGTTAGCAAGACAGTGCTCTCCTTCCATGAAAGTCACAGGCACATGTTCTCAGGAATTGAGGGATGTGAGCCAACTGGGTGAGAACCTTCAGACCAGTGGGGGTGACCTGAGGGTGGGGAAGCTGAGCAAAGGAGGGAGGCAGGGAAAGAGCAGCCAGCTTATCTGGGCCTGCATGTGTTAGGATTGCCATGTAATGTGAGCTTGACTCTGTCCCAGGCACATGTAGTGTTTCTGTGTCCCTGAGCTCTTACAAGACCTGGGATGCTCCCAAAATAATACAGACCAGGCTGCTTGGTCCTGGTTTTCTGCTGGACAACCCCTTCGCCATTGCTTCCTCCAGGATCTCTTATTTCTTTCTCATTTACAGCCATAGTTCGTCGTCCTCGGTGATGCAAAGGGTCAACTAACAGGCCTCTTCCTTGTGCCTGCTCTGCCCAGGTGCCTCTGCTTCCTTCGCCTCCTTTCACCTGCCCTCTTCCTCCTCACTTCCCACCCCACTAACTAGAAGTGGGTCCCTCACTCTGCTGATGCACTTGAGCCTCCCCCCAATGTCTCCATGTCCCTCAGTGCACTTGAGAGATGAGTCTCATTTCCCAGCCTCTCCATAAGCTCCCAGGTACCGATCTTTCTGGGGCTCCTTCTGCTGCCTTTCTGCCTTTCTCTGCTGCTTCCCCACCTCCTGAATCTCATATAATCCCAGGGAAGCCTGCGGCTTCAGCGTCAGCACTCATGGCTGTGGGTGTCCAGCAGAGCCCTGGTGGGACCACTTTGTCCTGACAGCACCTTCCATCGATCACAACCCTTCCTGTTGGGTGCCACAGCAGGTGCAAATACTTGGGGATCCAGGGAAAGAGCACTGGGTAAGGACTCTTTTGGGCCTGCTTGGGGCACAGACATGGGGTGCTGTCGTGTTATATCAGTACTCCTGGGGTACAAATGCCTTCAAGGATGAGTTTAAAATTTTGACCAGTAACAGGATATGAAGCTGCATGAACCCATTCTGAGGTGTTCACAGTGCACACAAGTCTATAGGAACATGGAGGAAAGGCTGAGGTATGTTCTAGTCTCATCATAGAAAATGATGCAGGAAAATGGTCACGTGGAGAGGAGAGAACACAAAGCCCAGAAAGTATGGGACAAGGGATGTTTGAGGAGTGGCAGGCAGTTAATTTAAAGCATTGTTTTTGGATGTTGTGATGTGTGTGGTATTTGTCAGGTTTTTAGACACATGCTCTTGTTCCCACACAGCCCTACCGACTCCAAATGTAAAGCCTCCAGTCTCCACAGAGCCCAGTCTGCCCTCATTTCTGCGTTTCTTTACAGGAGTTTGTTTGCTCTTGACTCAAACTATGACTTTTGTCTTGAGGCTCACAATCCTCCCTACAGAATACACTGTGCACAGTGCCTGGCCCTTTCTTTCCCATTATCTGGGGGGTGACACACTTTGGCTTTTGACCCTCACAGTTCCATTGATCATGCTCACATTTTAAATGGAAATAGAGTCATACTAGGAGTGTGGGTCCAATTTTGACTCAAGATGGGCCATTCAGTTCAGAAATGTTACGGGTCAAATAAACTATCATCTCTGCTGAGGGACTGTCTGGACCCATTGCTGAGAAGGATCACAGGTCAGTATTTTATTTCTGATGTCAACAGTGCATCATCTTTAGTCTAACCAAAGGGAGATATCATGGGTTCCTCAGAGGAAGAGCTGCCTCTTCTTGGATCTGAGAACTGAGGGTACCTTTGGAGCCAGGTAAGGAGGACTGTTGTCCTGTGTACTTAGTTTACTATCAGAGTGGGGAAGTGTCCCTGTGGGACCAGCCCATCCACCTCACTCTCATTACCTCCGCTTCCTTGGGTCTGATGGGTCCCCAGACCCCTTCAGCCACTGTGTGTCATTCAGATGCCTTCTGAGTAGCATCATTCAAGTGCATGTTCATGAGGAATTCCCATCCTTTGAATTGTACTTTTGTTGTTGAAATGTGGCCTAAATTACAAGTACCGAAGGGTGTAAATATTAATTACACATTGAATTCTGAGGCTGTTTTTACTTGGAACTTGTGAGTTTGTTCATAACCATAATTCAAACACAAGGACCCAGGGCTGAGGAGGGGAAACCAGGGTCAGCCATTTGTCTCTCTCCATCCCATTACCAACTTACTTTGAGGACATTGACTCTGTGACTGGAGGCAGTAGCTGCCAGTGCCTGGGCTCCCAGAGGAGCTTTTGCTAATGGCCCAGCTGCTTTAATCCCACTGCTTCCCTCCAGCATGTCTGCCACCGCCCTGTGAATCAGCCACCACCATGTGAGCTGGACACAGAGAAGGAGGGAGCCTGTGTGTGCTGAGCTGGCCACATTTCCCATAACTCCACCTGAATTGTTTTTTCTTCTTTTGGTAAACTTCCGTTTCCATTCCCTATCTCCAAGGGGAACATGGTCCCCACTATCTGCATGAATCATCTACAGGATACTAGAGGATGCAGAGCCAGGAAGCTTGAGTAAGCCCATAATGGGACTCCGGTGTGACCCTAATGAGGACTGTAGGTGTAACCTGAGGAAACGGGGTCATGTGGTCAGATGTCCAGGACAATATCACATTTTGATCATACCACCTGTTCTTTTCTCCTTGGAACACCGCTGGGCCAACCATTAGCCTGACCTGCATGTTGCTGCGTAGGTCATTGGAGTTTTAGTAATGGGATGGTAGGTTGCCTGGCATAAACCTTAGAAAAGCCTTCAGGGTTCTCTGTGCCCACTCTGACCTGATGCCCAGCATGCCCAGGATCTAGAAAGCACCGCATGGTGTGAGTGTGAAAGTCCTTTAGTGGAAGCAGCCTGGGAGAGAAAGAGTGAGACAGTGAAAGAGGTAGAGATACACAGAGAGAGAAAGACACACAGAGAGATAGAGAGATACAGGGATAAATAGCCACGGACATTCAGCCGGGGAGGACTTGCAGACAGGGAGGAGGGGGGTGAGGGAAGGGGCAGCTCATGTAAATTTCAGAAGGGCTGTGTCGGCTGAGCAAGGCCACTGGCCACAGCTGTGAGAGAGAAGAGAAGCATCTTTCCTGCTTCTGGTAACAGGTCTGCACCCTGATCCCTGGGTGCAGCTTCTCTCCTGAGACAAAGCCTCAGGGCTGGAAGGAGAGGAGATCATGTGAGTTCACAGGGATGCTTCAGGGGTCAGAGCCTGGTGGGGGCTAGGAGCCCAATGATACCTGAATCGTCAGGCATGTACCCCACTGATTATGGATAAACCCTGAATATGTGCTTGTAAGAGCTCAGAGCCTGAGTGTGCACTTAGCTGACTGTGGTCCTTCAGATCATAAAAGTACCTCTGGAGCACAGGCTTTCCAGAGCATGCAGCCTTCTGAGCATTTGTTCACTGTTTCTCTCTCTCTCTGTCCCTTCTCTCCACCACTTCCGCACTCTTTCCCTCTCACTTTATCTAAAAAATATATATATATATTAAAAATCCTCTCTTGAGGATTAAGAAAAACAAAAAAGTTCCACCTTCAAAGGGAATCAAAGGTCATTCTTGCCAAGGTTTTTGTCTTAAGTCCCAAATGTCACTGAATTACCTTTAAAAATGGCTTCAAAGGACCAGACAGGAAACCTGGATTAGTGTCTTTTTTTGTTTGATCCTCGGGGGTATATTTTGCATTGCTTTTCAGAGGGTTTCTATGGGAGAGAGAGAGAAACATCCCTGTGAGATTAGTTGCCTTCAGCATGTGCCCTGACTGTGGACCCCTCACCTCATCTTCAGGACTACCTAGAGAGTGACCACATTGGATCCAAACTGCCTTTTTTTCTGGCTGTGGCCCAAACCCACAAATTGGAAGGAAGGAAGGTAAATTTGTCTTGGCCCCGGCCCTGGTTATCCTGTCCTTGTGTCTGGGGTTGTGGGAAATCCCACGTCCTGGGGGCCCAAGCACCTTCTCTGCAAGGTGGAGATTCCAGTGACTGCTCTCCCGAGGTTCTCATGGTTAATGTACTTGGTGCCATACAGGCCATGGCAGCACTTCCTGGTGAGTAAGAAGAGGTGACAGGTGTCTGCTGTGAGGTCCTTGCCTCTCATTTGGTGCCTGTGAGTGAAGGGGGTGCAGGCAGAGCTCCACATGGGAAACCTCAAATTTACTTTCCCATGTGACCTCAGCCCCTCAGGCTTTAGAAGGGGAACCTGGGAGGTGAATGCCTCACTCTCTTTTTCTTCTGCTCCAGCATCCTCATGTCTTTCTTCTTGTTCGTCCCTCCGTCTCAGACTGGCTGTGCCTGCATGGAGCTGGTTCTCTGTTGGACGTAACCTGTACCATCTCCCTGCCAGCTACTCCTATTTTTCTTTTTGATGAAGCCCAAGTTCAACTAAGAGGCCTCCTCCTACTACCAGCTCCTCCCAGGTGCCTCTGCTTCCCGTTCCTCCTTCCATCTGCCTGCCTCCTCCTCACCACCTCACCCCACTGATTGGCAGTGGGTCCTTGACTCTACTGAAGCACCAGGCCTCCCAGGGGAAAAGCTGAGGTATGTTTTAGTCTCATTTTAGAAAATGATGCAGGAAAATGGTCATGTGGAGAGGAGAGGACACAAAGCCCAGAAAGTGTAGGACAAGGGATGTCGGAGGAGTTTGAAGCAGATAATTTAAAACTTTGCTTTTTGGATATTGTGATGTGTGGGATGCTTTAGGGGGACAGAGACTGGTAGGGGCTGGGAGCCTCATGATACATGGATTGTCAGGCATGTACCCCACTGAACATGGGTGAACCCTGAATATGTATTGTACGAGCTCGGAGCCTGAGTGTGGACCTAGCTGACTATGTTCCTTCAGATCATAAACAACGTCTAGGGCACAGGCTCTCCTGAGCTTGAAGCCTTCTGAGCATTTGCCCAGTGTTTCTCCCTGGCCTCCCTTCTGATCTCTACCTCACTCTCCCCCTTCCACTTTCTAAAAAAAAAAAAAAAAGAAAAGAAAAATTTAAAAAATGTCTATGGGAAAGGATTAACAACAACAACAAAAGTAGCACCTCCAAAGTGAGTCAATCAAAGGTCATTCCTGCTAATGTTTGTGTCTCTAGTCCCCAAAGGGAACTGAATTACCTTTGAAAATGGCCTCAAAGGACCAGAGAAGAATCCTGGATAAGTGTTTTCTTTCTTTAATCCACGCTGGAGGTTATTTATTCTATTACTTTTCAGAAAGAGTTGAAGGGAGAGAGAGAGAAACATCCATGTGAGATTGGTTGCCTTCAGTATGTGCCCTGACTGGGTCTGGTTTTGAGCCTGCAAGGGAGGTATGTGCCCTGGGCCAGAATCGAACCTGGTACGTACCCTTCAGTCCCCAGTGCAGTGCTCTGAACACTAAGCCAAATCGGCTAGGGCAGGGTTCGTGTCTTAATGGCAGAGGGCTGCAGTTCGGATATTGGTCACAGGGTGCAGGCAGCATTGTCCTGGGCAGTCGGGGACATGTGGCTTGGGTGAGGGGGCTTTGTGGGTCTTGATTTGGTCTGTTGATGGCTTTAGGGGTGTTCCGCACACAGTTTTGTCAACTGACAGTGGGACAGTGGGATTTGTCAGGAGCCAAATCAAGGAAATCAAGAGTTCAGGCAGGGATGGAGAGCACCCTGAAATGTCTTCAGGCTCCCTGTGCCCCTGCACCTCATGTTTAGAGTCACCCAAAGAGTGAATACATCAGATCTGCCTTTTTACTGGCTGTGGCCAAACCTCACTTTGCAGATTTCTGGCTCCAAGGAGGAGAAGGTGGAAGGAAGCAAAGAAAATTTGTCTTGGACTCAAGCCCTTGTACAAATGCCCTTCCGTTTGGGGTGTGGGGAATCCCATGGCCTGAGGGCCCAAGCCTCTTCTCTGCAAGGTGGAGACTCAAGTTTCTGCTCTCTGGGGTTACCATCGTTAATGAACTTGGTGCCATACAGGCCATGGCAGAGCTTTTTGGTCAGTAAGGGTAGGTGACAGGTGTCTGCTGTGAAGTCCCTGCCTCTTTTGCTGCCTGTGAGTGAAGGGGGTGCAAGCAGAGCTCTGCCTGAGAAGACTCTACTTTGCTTTCCCATGTGACCTCAGTCTCTCAGGCTTCAGAAGGGGAACCTGGGAGGGGAGCTCCTCAATTCCTTTCTCTACTCCTCCCTCACCATCATGCCTTACCTTTCCCTCGTCTCTCCTCATGGTCTGGCTGTGCCCTGCTTGGAGCTGGTTCCTTGCTGGACGTCACTTGCACCATTGCCCTCTGCAGGCTTCCCTCTTTCTTCTCAGTGAAACCCAAGTTCAAATAGCAGGCCTTGTCCTCCTGCCCACTGCTCCCCGGCGCTGCTTCTTCCTGCCCATTCTTCCACCTGCCCTCTTCCTCCTCACCTCCTCACCCCACTAATTGCAAGTGGATCCTTGACTCTGCCAATGCCCTGGGGACTTCCCCAGCTTCCCCCTGGGCCTCTGTGCACTTGAGAGACCAGTCCCACTTCCCAGCTTCTCCTCCATAAGCTCCCAGGTACTGACCTTCCTGAGGCTCCTCCTTCCTCCCTGCCTTCCTCTGCTGCTCCCCCACCTCCTGAATCTCACACAACTTCTCCAAGAAGCCCACAACTTCAGTGTCAGCGCTCATGCACGTAGGTGACCAGCAGAGCCCTGTCGGGACCACTTTCTCCTGACAGCACCTTCCATCCATCACATGCCTTCTAGGTGGGTGGACTCAGAAGGCTGCAGATACTTGGCATCCAAGGACATAGAGCTTGGAAGACATGGTTGGGGCACAAACATGGGGTACTCTTCCCACGTCTGGTGTACAAATGCCTTCCAGGAAGAGTTTAGAATTTAGATCAGTAACAGGATATGAAGCCATAACAACCCATTCTGAGCTGTTCACAGTGCACTCAAGTCTCTAAGAACACGAAGGAAAGGGTGAGGTGTGTTCTAGTCTCATCATAGAAAATGAAGCTCAGAAAGTATAGGACAAGGGATATTGGAGGCATTTGAGGCAGGTAACTTAAAATGTTTTTTGGATATTGTGATGTGTGTGCTATTTGGTTTTAAAATATGTAATTTGCTGTGATTTCCTTTTAAATATGCAGAAATGTCCTCTTGTTCTTGGCAGCCACCCTCGCCCCCAAATTTTAAAACTTCTCATCTGTCCTCATATCTGTATTGCTTGAGAGTAGTTTGTCTTCTCTTGGCTCAAACTATGACTTTTGACTTGAGGCTCACTAAACTCCCTACTGAGCAAACTGTGCATGATGCCTGGGCCTTTCTTCCTCATTATCTGGGGGGCAGGGAGAGACACATTATCTTCTGATAGCCACAGTTACATGCTCGCATTGTAAATAGAAATACAGTCATAGTAGGAGTGTGGCTACAATTTTACTCAAGATGGGGCCGTATGGTCAAAAATTTTAGGGAACAAATACACTGTTATGTCTGTTTTCAGACCACCTGGACCCATTGCTGAGCAGGGTCACAGGTTGCAGTGTTTGTGGTTCACAATCTTTGCTTTCTGATGTCACCAGCACATCACCTTAGGCCAACCAGAGGGAGGTGTCATGGGTGCCTCAGAGGAAGAGCTGCCTCTTCTGGGAGCTGAGAGCTGAGTCTGCTGCAGGAACCAAAGTCCCTGTCACAGGTAAGGAGGGCTGTTTTCCTGTATAATTAGTTTCATGTTACAGCAGGGAGGGTTGCTTGTGGGACCAGCCCATCCACCTCACTCTCATTACCTCCTGGCTTCTTGGAGCTGTCTGGTCCCCACTGCCACTGAGATGCTTTCTGAGTAGCACCATTGAAGTGCATGTTTATGAGGAATTTCCATTGTTTGAGTTGTCTTTTTTGTTGTTGAAATGTGGCCTAAATGACAAATTGTGAAGGGTGTGAATATTAATTATACATTGAATTCTGAGGCTGTTTTCTTGGCGCTTCTGAGTTCATTCACGACTATAATTCACACACCGAGAGAGAGAGGAGAGGTGAACCAGGCTCCGTCATTTGTCTTCCTCTTTCTATCCTGTTACCATGTCGCTTCAAGAACATTGATTCTGTGACTGGAGGCAACAGGTGCTGGTGCCTGGACCAGCCTTTGCTAATGGCCCAAGGGCTTCATCCCAGTGGCTTCCTTCCAGCATCTGTGCTGCCACCCTGTGGATGAGCCACCTTGTGAGCTGGACATAGGGAAGCAGGGAGCTGGACACAGGGAAGTAGGCTGCCATCGTGCGCTGACATGGTCACACTCCCCCAGAACTCTACTGGAATTATTTTTCCATTTTCTGGCAAACTTACCATTGTCTGTCTCCATAGGGAAGGTGCTCCCACCATCTGTATGAATCATGTCTAGAGAATGGGGAGCTAGGATGCCTGAGGAAGCCCATGGCGGGATCCTGGTGTGAGTTTAAACAGGACCATGGGTGCCACCTGGGGAATCAGGGTAGTGTGCTCAGATGTCCAGGGCAACATCACGTTTTGACCAAATGCTGTCTGATTTTCTCCTTGGACCACTGCCGGGCCAACCATCAGCCTGCCCTGCACGTCTCTGAGTAGGTCAGTGGAGTTTTGGCAAAACAGACAATAGATTGCCAGGTGTGGACCTTAGAAAAGCCTTCAGGTTTCTCTGTGTCCACTCTAACCTGCTTCCAGGTGTGTGCAGAATCCTGGTACCACTCCAAGGGTGGGAGTGAGGGAGGCCTTCAGTGGAAGGAGCCTGAGAGAGAAAGGACAGACAGAGGCAGAGACAGAAACCAAGACACACTGAGAGAGAGAGAGATACTGAGAAAGATTAGGACATACAGACAGAAACAGAGAAACACACAGATACACAGACACACACACACACACACACACATTGGCTAGGGGAAGACTTGGAGACCCAGGGAGGAGGGGGGTGAGGAAAGGGCAGCTTATGTAAATTTCAGAAGCTCTTTGTCAGCTGACCAAGGCCACTGGCCCACAGCTATGAGATGGAAGTGAAGCATCTTTCATACCTGTGGTAACAGATCTGCATCCTGCTCCCAGGTTGGAGCTTCTGTCCTGAGACAAAGCATCAGTGCTGGGAGGAAAGGAGTTCAGGTGGGTTCACAGGGATGCTTTAGGAGGGCAGAGCCTGGTGGGGCCTGGGAGCCCCATGCTACCATCTTCATCAGGCATGTACCCCAATGATCATGGATCAACCCTAAATATGTACTTCTAAGAGGTGGAAGCCTGAGTGTGGACTTAGCTATGTTCCTTCAGATCATTAACAACCTCTGGAGCATGGGCTCTCCTAAGCATTCAGCCTCCTGAGCATTTCTTCACTGTGAGAATGGAATGTCAAAACAATCAATTCCCCTGGTCAAAATTCATTTTGAGATGGCATCTTTGTGATTTTCTGTTGCCCCTGTACATGTCTCTTCCTAGCATGAACCCCCTAATTGTAGCCTCTCCTGACCATGGGGTGCTTTGATTATAAAATACCCTTATCTTAACCCACTGCTTCATGTTCCCCATTCATCATGTATAAACACTGAATATTTTTTGTGGGCACAGGAGATCTGAGTAAGGATCTAGGTGACCATGTTTAACAGATAATAAATCCCCCCCACCCCCCAAGCATGGGCACTTGTGAGCATGAACTCCTGAGAGTTATTTGCACTATGGATGGAGCCTTTCTAAGAGAAAATCCCTGAGAGTGGCCTCTCTGAGTGTGTCCGGGGGCTTTATTACTTCTAAGTGCCTAGTCCAGAAGCGTGGACCCTCAGGAAAGTGTACAGCCCTAATAATCAACTTTCTTAACCATACCCCCTCTTGAGTATGTACTTCTTTATTTTACTCCCTTTACATGTGCCTTCCTGAGCATGGAAATCTTCAGGAATGACCCTCTTGATGGTCCACTGCTTTGTTTATAGTCTTCCCTGATGATCGCACCCCCTGAGCCTGTACACATTTGAGCATGTATAACACCTGAACATGTCACTTATTGAGCATGAATTTTCCTGAGCATGGCCCACTTTGAGCTTCAACCCACTCAGAGAATCTAAAACTTCTCAGATCTAACATGACTGAGTATGTATACTTTGTGTGGAGGATCCTGAGCATCAATGACATGAGCATGGACAGTGCTGAATGGAATCACTGGGCTTAATTACATCTGAGGATGCACCCAAGAAGCATGGATGCTTCTGTGCATGGAATGCCCTACTAATCATTTCCCCTGGACATGCTTTATTTTGAGCGTGTACCCTTGTGAATTGTGAAATGCCTCTACATGTACCTCGGTGAGCATGGAACCTCTATTTGTGGTCCCTACAAATCATGTGTTTTTTATTATAAACTACCATGGTTAAGCCACTCATGAGTATGTAATCCATTGATCATGGAGAAAACCTGAATATGTACTGTTCTGTGCAAGGAAGACCTGGCTGTAGATATTGCTGACTCTGTTCATTCAGACCATAGAACCCTCCATATGCACATGAACCCATGTGTTCCTGGAACATTTTGAGTGAATACGCTCTTATAATGGGACCGTTATGAGAAATAACAACACTGAACATAGACCTCTGAGTGTGGAATATCCTGAACATTAAAGCCCTGGGAATCAGGCACTCTTGAATGTCCAACACTGTAGGAAATCACATCTAAACATCATTTCAGTAAGTGTAGACACTTCTGAAACTGGACTGCCGTAAGGATCAGGGCCCAAATCATAGCTGCTTTTGAGCATGTACTCATTGATTATGTAGTGTCCCCTGTACATGTGGCTCCCTCAAAAAGACAGCCCACCTGATCATGACCTTTAATTTTAATCACCCCTGAGCATAGCCCCATTTGATCATGTATGTCCTTGATCATGTGTAACCTCTTAACCTGCACTTATCTGAGCTTGGATCATTTTGAATACAAACACCATCTGAGAATGGCACATTGCTCAGAATGAAGCCCCTGATCATGAATTCTCTTCTTTGGAACTTTGTCAGCAAAAGTTGCCTTATCATGTATCCTCCAGAACAAGGAATCAATGACCTCATCCCATCTAAGCATGTACCTAAGAAGTGTAAAAATTTCTGTTCATGGAATTCTGGAATAATCAATTTTCTTAATCCTAGTTTATCTTGAGAATGTTCCCTTGTGATTCTGTGTCACCTGCAGACATGTATCTTCCTCATCATGAAATGCCTAATTGTAGACTTTCTTGATCATGACCTGCTTTGATTTCAATCTCCCTTAACATAGCCCCACTTGAGCATGTACCCTTTGGATTATGTTTAGTATCTGAACATGTACATTCCTGACTGTATTCTCCTGAGCATGGGGATATTTGTACAGATCCACTCAGAGAATGAATCCCCTGACAAGTGAATCTCTTTGTGTAGAACATCTTGGGCTTACATGACCTGATCATGGACCGTCCTGAACATTGAATCAATGAGGACGATGGTTTCTAAGCATGTACCTATGACTTGTTGCCATTTCTGTTCATGGAATTCTGTATTAATTTTGTTGAACCTAGTTCATCTTGAGAATGTGCTCTTATGATGTTTTTTTTACCCCTGTACATGTACGTTTTTGAGCATGGACACCCTAATCATGGACCCCTCTAATCATGTCCTCTCTGATTATACACTTCCATTATCTTAACTGCTCATGGGCATGTAATCTCTTGATCATGTATAAAACCTGAGTATGTACTTTCTGAGCATGGAAGGCCTGAGCAGGGAGCTGGCTGATTATGTACCTTCAGACCATAGACCTCTCCTTAGGAGCTTGAACCCTCATGATCTTGGATTTTCTGAGTATGAATGCACTCTTATAATGTAACCCTTCAGAGAATTAACAACACTGAGCATGGACCCTCTTGTGTGGATACCCTGAACCTAAAAGCCCAAGGAATATGCACTCTGGATCATGGAACCTCTGGATGTAATCATTTTTTAACAGCAACTCAATAAGCATGGACACTTCTGATTATAGACTGCCCTAAAGATCAACTTCCCTAATCAGAGCCAATTTCCAGCATGTACCTACTTGCTAGTTCATCCTCTGTATGTGTCCAACCTGAGCATCAAAACCCTCATCAAGGCACCTACCGACCGTGACATACTTCAATTTTAATCTCCCTTGAATGTCACACCACTTGAGCATATACTCTTTTCTTGATGTTTAATAACTGAACATGTAAAATCTGTGCATGGAAACTTTTGAGCACGGACACACACTGAGTATAAAACACTCTTGAGAACAAACAGCTTATCCGTGACCTCTGTAGTGTGGATAACTTGAGGATAAACACCATGAACACAAATCCCCTGAACGTGGAATCATTGACTGCAATTATATCTAAGCATGAATCTAAGAAGAGTGGACATTTCTGTTCATGGAATTCTGTAAGTATTAATTTTCCTTATTGTTGTTTACCTACAGAATGTTCTGTTGTGATGTTTTATAACCCCTTTTCCTGTACCTTCCTGTGCATGAAATCTCTAATTGTATATTCCTCTAATCATGACCTACTTTGATTGTAAGCTCCCCTTAACATGGCCCCATTTGAGCATATATCTTCTAGATTGCATTTAATATACTAACTCATACTTTCCTGAACGTGGATTCTGCTGAGCATGGAGCCTTTTGAATTTGGACGACTCTGAGAATGACACATTTCAGAAAATGTATCGCCAAGACCATAGAATGTCTTCCTGTGGGACATCCTGAGCTTAAACAATCTGAGAAAGGAACCTTCTGAACATGGAATCACAGAGCGCAGTCATTTCTAAGCATACATCTGAGAATTGTTGATGTAAATCCATGGACTTCTGTAATTTCCTTGATCTTACATCATCCTGGAAATGTACCATTGTGAATTTGTGTAACAACATACGAGTACTTTACTAACCATGGACGCTCTAATTTTTGATCCCCCTACTCATGTATTCTGTTCATTTAAACTCCCGTGATATTAGTGTCTCTTGACCATGTATAACACTGGTCATTTATAAAAACTGAAAATGTTCTCTGAGCCTGATCAGTGACATGGCTTACTATGTACCTTCAGAACACAGACCCTGCCTCATGAGCATGAACTCATGTGATCCTACACCTTTCTGAGTATGAATGCCCTCTGATAATGGAACCAGTCTGAGAAATACCAACACTCTGCATGGACCCATAGTGTGGAATATCCTGAACATAAAGGTCGAAGGAATGTACTGTTTTGATCATGAAATCCTTGTGCGTAATCAGTGATCAATGATACACATCGACTCAATTAGCATGGACACTTCTGATGATGGACTGCCCTAAGAATCAACTTCCCTTATCGGACCCAAATTTGAACATGTACCTAATTGGTAGTTTATCCCCTGTATGTGTACCAGCCTGAGCATCAAAATCCTCAGCATGGAACCTACTGACCATGACATACTGCGATTTTAATCTCCCTTGAATATCGTGCCACTTGAGTATATACTCTTCTCTTGATGTTTAATCACTGAACTTGTAAAATCTGGGCATGGAAACGTGTGAGTAAGAACACACACTGAGAATAAAAATCTTGTGAGAACAAATAGCTTATCCATAGCCTCTCTTGTGTGGATAACTTGAGGATAAACAAGAGGAACATGGATCTTCTGAACATGAAGAATGAACGGTATTACATTTAAGTGTAAATCTAAGAAGGGTGGGCATTCGTTTCATTGAATTCTGTAAGTACTAATTTCCCTGATCCAATTTTACCTTGAGAATGTTCTTTTATAATTTTGTGTAACAACTTTTCCTGTACATNTTTGTGTAATCCCTTTTCCTGTACCTTCGTTTGCATGAAAAGCCTAATTGTATATTCCCCTGATCCTGACCTTCTTTGATTGTAACCTCCCCTTAATGTAGCCCACTTGAGCATGTATCTTGTAGATTATGTGTAATTTAATAACTCATACTTTCCTGAGCATGCATTCTGTTGACCATGGAGCCTTTTGAATTTGAACGACTCTGAGAATGACACACTCCAGAAAATGTATCCCCAAGACCATGGAATANTCAGAAAATGTATCCCCTAGGCCATGGAATGTCTTCCAGTGGGACATCCTGAGCTTAAACAATCTGAGAATGGCCCCTTCTGTACATGGAATCAGTGAGCCCCGTCATTTCTAAGCATATACCTAGGAATCCTTGACTTGTACATCATGGAATGCTGCAATAATTTCCTTGATCCTAGTTCCTCCTGAGAATATACCTGTGTGATTTTGAGTAACAACATACAAGTACCTTCCTGATCATGGAGGCTCTAATAGTCGACCCCCCTAATCATGTATTCCGTGAATTTAAACTACGGTGATCTAAGCTCCTCTTGATCATGTATACCACTGATTGCGTATAAGACCAGAANCTCTGGATTCTGTATACCACTGATTGTGTTTAAGAACAGGATATGTGGTTTTCTGAGCATGGAAGGCCTGAGCAGAGAGCTGGCTATGTACCTTCAGACCATAGACCCTTCCTCATGAGCATGAACCCATGTGATCCTACAACATTTTGAGTATGCATGTCCTCTTATAATGGAAGCATTTTGAGAAATACCGACACTGAGCATCAACCCATGAGTGTTGAATATCCTGAACATAAAGGTCCAGGGAATAAATNGTTGAATATCCTGAGCAGAAAGGTCCGGGGATTATATACTCTTGATCATGGAATCCTTGGACGTGATCAATGATAAACAGCAACTCAAGAAGTGTGGACACTTCTGATCATGGGCAGCACTGAGAATCAACTTCCTTCATTAGAACCACTTTCCAGTATGTACCTACTTGTTTATCCCCTGAATGTGTACCAGCCTGAGCATCAAAACCCTCAGCATGAAGCCTCCTGACTGTGACGTACTTCTTTTTTAATCTCACTCTAATGTTGCACCACTTGAGAATACACCCTCTTCTTGATGTTTAATGCCTGAGCATGTGAAATTATGTGCATGGAAACATTTGAATAATGACCCACACTAAGAATAAAACACTTGTGAGAATAAATACCCTATCTTTGGCCCCTCTTGGGTGGATGACTTGAGGATCAACACTGTGAACATGGATTGCCTGAACATGGAATCAATTTCTGCAAGCACATCTAACCATGAATCTAAGAAGAGTGGACATTGCTGTTCATAGAATACCATAAGTATNAAGAGAGGAGATCGCCGCTCATAGAATGCCGTGAGTACTAAATTCCTTGATTGTTTTTTGCCCAGAGAATGTTCTGTTGTGATTTTGTCTTAACCCTGTACATGTAAGTACCTGAACATGTAATCACTAATTGTAGACAATTGTTATCCTGGCTTGCTTTGATGTTAATCTCCCTATNGTGATTTTGTCTGAACCCTGTACATGTAAGTACTCGGACATGTAATCACTAATTGTAGACAATTGTTCTCCTGCCTTGCTTTGATGTTAATCTCCCGTCTAGTTAGTTCCCTTTGAGCATGTACCCTCTTGATTATATGTTTAATCTGAACATGTACATTGCTGAGCATGGATTCTGCTGTGCATGGAGTCTTTTGCATATGGACCCCTCTAAGAATGATGCACTTTGGATAATGAAACCNCCCCTCTAAGGATAATGCACTTTGGATCATGAAATGCCCTAACCATGCTCATGTGGAACATCCCGAGCTTCAACAACCTGAGCATGGACCCTCCTGAACATGGAATCAATGAGCACAATAACATCTAACCATGTACCAAGAATCAGGGATATTTCTGTTCATGGAATTCTGTAAGTATTAATTTCTTTGATCCTTGTTTACTTTGAGAATGTTCTTTTGTGATTTTTGTGTAACCCTGTAAATGTAACTTCTTGAGCNACATGTACCTTCTTGAGCATGAAACCCCTCATTGTAGACTCTCCTGATCATGGCTTGCTTTGATATTCATCTCCCCTTAACATAGCCCCACTTGAGTATGTATCCTCTAGATTATGTGTAATATAATAACTCATACTTTCCTGAGCGTGGAGTCTACTGACCTTGGAGTCTTTTGAATTGGAACTGCTCTGAGAATGACACACTTCAGAAAATGTATTCCCAAGACCATAGAATGTTTTCCAGTGGGACATCTTGAGCTTAAACAATCTGAGAATGGCCCCTTCTGTATATGGAATCAATGAGCCCCATCATTTCTAAGCATACACCTAGGAATCCTTGATCTGTACATCATGGAATGCTGCAATTATTTCCCTGATCCTAGTTCATCCTGAGAATATACCTGTGTGATTTTGTGTAACAACATACAAGTACTTTCCTGAGCATGGAGGCTCTAATATCCAACCCTTCTAATCATGTATTCTGTGAATTTAAACTACCATGATCTTAGTCCCTCCGGATTCTGTATACCACTGATTGTGTTTAAGAACAGAATAAGCANCTGGATTCTGTATACCACTGATTGTGTTTAAGAACAGGATATGTGGTTTTCTGAGCATGGAAGGCCTGAGCAGAGAGCTGGCTATGTACCTTCAGACCATAGACCTTTCCTCATGGTCATGAACCCATGTGATCCTACACCATTCTGAGTATGAATGTGCTCTTATCATGGAACCATTCTGAGAAATACCGACACTCAACATGGACCCATGAGTGTGGAATATCCTGAACATAAAGGTCCAGGGAATATACACTCTTGATCATGGAATCCTTGGGCGTAATCAATGACAAACAGCAACTCAAGAAGTGTGGACACTTCTGATCATGGGCTGCACTCAGAATCAACTTCCCTAATTGGAGCCACTTTCCATATGTACCTACTTGTTTATGCCATGAATGTGTACCAGCCTGAGCATGAACCCTACTGACTGTGACATACTTCTATTTCAATCGTCCTTGAATGTCTCGCCACTTGAGAATATATGCTCTTCTTGATGTTTAATGCCTGAACATGTAACATTATGTGCATGGACACGTTTGAATAATGACCCACACTAAGAATTAAACACTCCTGATGATAAACACCCTATCCATGACCTCTATTGTGTGGATTACTTGAGGATTAACATCATGAACATAAATCTCCTGAACATAGAATCAGTGACCACAATTACATCTAAGCATAAATCTTCTAAGAAGAGTGGACATTTCTGTTCATGGAATTCTGTAAGTATGAATTTCCCTGATTGATGTTTACCTAGTTCTGTTGTGATTTTATGTAACCCCTTCCTGAGCATGAATCCTCTAATTGTCTATTCCCTTAATCATTACCTGCTTTGATTGTAACCTCCCCTTAACATAGCCCCACTTAAGCATGTATCCTCTTGATTGTGTTTAATATAATATCTCATACTTTCCTGAGCGTGGATTCTGCTGAGCATGGAGCCTTTTGAATGTGAACAACTCTGAGAATGACACACATCAGAAAATGTATCCCCAAGACCATGGAATGTCTTCCTGTGGAACATCCTGAGCTTAAACAATCTGAGAAAGGAATTCTGAACATAGAATCATGCAGTGAAGTCATTTCTAAGCATATCCATAGAATTGTTGATGTAAATGCATGGAATTCTGTCATTTCCTTGATCTTAGTTCATCCTGGGACTGTACCATTGTGAATTTGTGTAACAACATATGAGTACACCTTCCTGAGCATGGACACTCTTAATTGTCGATCCCCCTAATCATGTATTCTGTGAATTTAAACTACCGTGATCTTAGCCCCTCTTGATCATGTATAACACTGATCATGTATAATAACTGAAAATGTTCTTCTCAGTGCCTGATCATCGACCTGGATTACTATGTACCTTAGACCGTATACCCTCCCACATTAGCATGAACTCATGTGATCCTACACCTTTCTGAGTATGAATATCCTCTGCTAATGGAACCATTTTAAGAAATACCAACCCTCTGCATGGACCCATGAAAGTGGAATATCCTTAACATAAATGTTCAAGGAATATACATTCTTTTTCTTTTTCTTTTTTTTCTTTTTCTTTTTTATTTCTTTTAAATTTTATTATTGTTTGAAATATTACAGATGTCCCTTTTTCTCCCCAATGACCCATTCCCCCCCGTTCCTTCCCCCTCCCCAGTCCCTCTCCCCTTCATTGTCCATGTCCTTGGGTTTTGTACATATGCATATAAATCCTTTGGTTACTCTCTCCCCCTTCACCCACCCGCCCTCCTCCATCCCTCTGACATNTTTTTTTAAATTTTATTTTTGTTTAAAATATTACAGATGTCCCTTTTTCTCCCCAATGACCCATTCCCCCCCGTTCCTTCCCCCTCCCCAGTCCCTCTCCCCTTCATTGTCCATGTCCTTGGGTTTTGTACATATGCATATAAATCCTTTGGTTACTCTCTCCCCCTTCACCCACCCGCCCTCCTCCATCCCTCTGACATTCGTCAGTCTCATCTATGCTTCCATGTCACTGAATCTATT